TACATCAAATATTTGTATTTCGTTAATCGATTTTATATAAATGATCCCTAAGTAACCCTCCAATTGTACTTTAAGGACAAAGTTCCTTTTCGTTTTAAAATTACCAATTTTATTAGAAAATTCCACTTATATGTATAATAGTCCTCGATTGCGGGGGTTGTAATTTTTGTAGTACATCAAATATTTGTATTTCGTTAATTGATTATGTATAAATGATCCCTAAGCGACCCTCCAATTGCACTCTAATGCCATATTGTTTTTCTTGTAGCTAGCGTGGTCAAAGTACATATATAGCTTCACAAAAAATAAAAACCTCCTGAAATTTCAAATTTGAGTATTCAAAAGAGTTGTGCTTATTATGAAAAATTCTTTACGAAGATAGGTATGCCATTTTCCGGAAAATTGTGGAGTGAAAAATTTTGTTTTTGTTTTTTCACTCTAATTGTTTAAATATTAAATATACGGAAAAAAGTTTCAATTAAAATTTGTAGCTGATGCATTTATCTACAAAATTTGCCTGAAAAGTTTTTCTGTAACTTGAAAAGTGTACGAGATATAATTGATTTCAGCAGAAGTCGATTCGTGGGTGCGCGCGAACGTCCCGTTTATTAAAGGCTTGATTTAAAAGTTAATAATTTGAAGGTTGTGATGCACTGAAAAAATAATAACGAAACGTTGGGAGATCCTATTCATTATTTTTATCGAGAAAATGCCGACAAAAATCTCATTTTTGAAAATGGTGTTAAATACCTTTTACATATATATAAAGCTCCAACAAAAGTTCAAAGTCTAAATGAACTTAGTTGATACATAATGTTGTTAAAAAAAAGCAGTAAATTTGGCCACTCTTTCACCTACATCGGACGCTGCAAGACAACATGTTTTTAGAGTGTATTATCAGATTCAACAATGGTTATCTTCTAAAATTTCTCCTGAATCCTGGGGTTGGCAAAAACAAGATATTTTAATGCCTATAAAAATGAAGCAAGCCCTTGAAATTTTAAATATGATCTTTTGTAACTGCAAAACTGGTTGTAAAAAGGCTTGCGGCTGTAGAAAAGCTAAGCTCCCTTGTTCACCTGCATGTGGTCACTGTCAAACGGGAAATTGTACTAATTTAGAAGAAAAACAGCGTAGATATTGACGAAGATGAAGATAATGATGACTTCGACGATCAAACAACTACA